CTGGAAAAATGAACTGTATTATTGCAATTTTTTTTGTAAAAGTAGCAGTTTGGTATGAGTTGGCATGCATACAAGATTTACTAAGTGGGATAAGCTAATTATACTTTTTGTTGTGGATAAACAAATGCTTGTTGATAGCCTTTTTCTATCAAGAAACCAAGGAGCTAATTATTAATAACAATCATTGCACACTGAGTCTTAGCGTTTCTGACGGAAACAGTTTGGATTGTATAATAACGCCAAGCCCAGTTGTAGTAACGTTTGAGTGCAGTAATGAAATCTGAATCTAAAATAAAAACAAGATTATTTTTGTCATGCTGACTCCACTGCTTGAAAAATTTGTTTACTGCCCCCCAAATTTTTAAGGATTAATGCAGTAAATAGGAAAATTAATTTTAGCTCCCTCAGACATATTTGTACTTGAAAATTTTAACCACAAAGTAAATTATTTGATAATAGTCACTGATTTCTTTAAGCTGACTTAATGAACTCCTAATATCAACAAATTTAAGGCCCAAAGACACTAAACTAACTGTAGCCTCAGGTTGCATCCAACAGAATTCCTCACCTAGTATCAGTGAAATTTTTCTTGCACATAATGGCAAACCTAAATACAGAGGTAAGTCTTTTACTAAGAATGTTACCTAGGATGAGCAGTAGATGTTTATTAGGAAATTAACTATGTGAATTGAAGAGACCAGACTTCAAAATCTAATTTTTATAAATATTCTCTATGTTCACATTGGATAACACTGGTTATTAACCAATTTTCCAGAACAGCTGTACAGAATTTCTGCATGGCAGCCAGCTAAATGGTACAAAATAACATGTTTAAGCTGGAATAACTTATAATTTTATTTAAATAAATTGTTGCTATAAAAAGTGCTTCCCAAAGCTAAGGGAAATATACAAATATTTTAATTAAGGCAAATTCTCCTTTTAAAAGAATCATCCTTTTAGGAGTGATTGCTTTGTAAACAAAGGATGGGTCAGAGGAGAGGGCCTTAAACTCAAGTCTGACTTTCAGGCCCATGTCACCCTATAAACCCGCCCTGAACAATTCTATTTTCTATTTGAAAAGAGAAACCAGCTGTGGGCTGGGTTTACTAGGTGACGTGTGATTGACTGACTCACCTGCTGGAGCGCAGCGCGCATTCTCACCTTTTGTTTATTGGGCCTTGTTTCTAAACACGTGGATGCGCAGACGGAGCGAAGCTCGACAGTCAGCCTCCTCCGCGCGGCAGCGCCCTCCGCCCCACCCCGCCCCCACCCCATATATGAGCTTGTTTAAATTTCAGATTTGGACCCACTGGCAACTCTTTGGCGACATAAATAGTCCATATTAGTGAAATAATTCTCTTTTGGTAGCTGGTTACTAGCAGTTAACAACCATGTATTTACTTTAAAAATGAATACTAAACTTTATGAACTACCCATCCATTTGCCCCTCCTCCCCAGTACATGCCTGGGTGCGTAGGTTATTTTCAGCCTTTATTCTTGACGATGCTCTTGCCGGTTGGGGGAGGGAAAGAAAGGGGAGGAGACAGAGAGGGAGAGAGAGAGAGATGGGAAGGGGGGCGGGAGAGGCGAGCACCAGGAGGAGGAGTAGGGTGCAAGTGAAGAAGAATCGGGAAATATGGAGACTGAAGATTCAAGATCATGAGTGTCCAATGAATTAGAAAAAATAAACTGTGTTCTTTCCTTGTGTTCCCTGCTCCGTGCGGCGGCTTTGTGAGGGCCTTGCTCTCTCCTCAGATCCTTTCTCCCCTTGCCTGGACTCCCCCACTCCCCCTTAATGCGATTTTAGCTTTTCCTCTTGTAAATTTCAGAGCCAGCTTGGAGGTTATTGAGGACACTTATCTGAAAGAAAGAAATAATAGAGGTGCTGAGGGTGTTTTTGATGTTTCTTAAAAGGCAAAAACAGAACGCCCTCTTCTAAACAAGGGCACACAATTGTACCTGCTCTTTATTTTTATGGGGGGGGGCGCTGGTTGAATGAGACCTTTTAGCACGATTTAAATATTTTTAAAAAAATTAAAAATATTTTACCCTATCATATTTAATCAGCTGTAATTATAACACATTCGAAATGAATAATATGCCTTGACAGTATTTTTATTGTTATTGTTCATTGCATGATGTTCGACTGCTTTAGAAGCACAGGAAAGAGAAGTAAACGCGCTACAAATGGGGAATTACCCTCGTTTAGCATTAAAATTCATTTAGATAAAATTGCCACAAACATTTAAATGGGAAGATTAGTTCCCCCTCACGCCTTATTGCACTCGCTCAATGGTTCCGTTAAGAACATTTTACACGTTGGAAATTCCGTCTTCTCAGACGGCTTGCTGTTTCCTAGTTACCCACATTCAAAGCAAAGGCGCAGCAAAGGCAGCCGCCGCAGCAGCAGCAGGGGAAAAAAAAAGTTTGGCAACTGGTCTGCAATTCATCCGCTGCTGGCCCCAGCCTCCCCTCCGCCCACAGCAGTCCGCCCCCCACCCCTCACCTTTCCTCACCCCACCTCTTCTCTCCCCATTAAGTAATTTGCTGAGTCCTGTCCTTCAGAGAACAAGTCGCTTAGTTGTATAGTATTTGAATATAATGTTAAAATACAAAGAAGCCAGTTTGCCCCTCCCCCGGTCTCCCCTCTCTGGCTTCTGCTCTGAGTTGAGGGTTTAGTTGGAAAGTGCAGAGTTTCTTACATCCCCTATTCTGAGGCTACAAGGGACGTTTTTTGGCTTGCTTTTCTGCCAGGACATTGCCAGGAAATTCACCATTGTTTTTTTTTTTTCTTATTTTTTTGCTTGTATTAGAAACGTGTGAAAGAATTAGTTTGAAAAGTCCTTGCTACGTCTAGTTTCTCCCTCTCCTTTTCTTCTCTCTCTTCGTCTCTCTCCGGCCCCCCCTTCCGCCCTCCCTTCTTCCTTCCTCCCTCACCCCCTCCCTCCCTTCGCAGAGCCGCAGGAAAAGAAGAATGTCGGCTTCGACTGCCATCTTTTGGGGATTTGGAAAAACGACTCGGTAGGAAACGGAGGGAGGCGGAGGCGCGGGGGAAGGGGGGGGAAACCCCCTTATTATCCTGTGTCGGAACTGGCTCCCTTAATCTGATGCTTAAATATTTGATGTGGAAAAATTACCCATAAAATTAGTTACTAACAATTTCAAATTGAAATCACTTATCGAATTATAAACGCATTAAAGCTGTATGGATGGTATTAGGAGTTCCTCGGGAGGCAGCGGGTGTCTTCTCACTGTGCGCCCGGCCGGCGAGTTTCGCCCCGGGGAGAAGCACCCCCGCGGAGCCAGGGGAGGGCGGCGGGGAGGCAGGCGCGGCGCTCGGGCGCGGGGTCCCGGCCTGAGGGACCTAGCGCGCGGCCAGGCCCAGGCTGAGGCTTGGGCTAGCTGGGCCGGCGGGGGGCGGGGTGGAGGGAGGGGAAGGAGTGGCGGTGGGAGGCTCAGACCCCCCGGCAGAGGCGCCTACGGGAAACTTCGTAGTCAAGTAGAAAGCTTCCGACAAGGAAAAACGCAAACCCTACCCGCCCCCTCCCGCCCGCGTCTCCCACGCGACACGCAGATTTTGCGCTCCCGGTCGGTTGCTGTGTGCAGCGCCCTCCCCCCCCGCCCAAGTCTGCGGGCCAGGGCGGGAGGCGAGACGCCGGTGGCCGGGCCAACCTCCGCGCGAGAGAGGAACTCCCGCGGGCCGCCGCGGCAGCTGCGAGGAGTCCAGACCAGGACGCCGCTGCCCCCTGCGTCCTACCGTGCACAGCGTCCAGGCCTGGACCCTGTGCCTGTGAGGACAGGTCTATGCTTAGAGCCTAGGGCACCTTGGGGGGGCGGCTCCGGCATCTCCAGGGGCTTCCTATCTCCTCCCGACCGCAAGAGGAAAGTCAAGTGTAAGGGGACTGCTGACTTTGTCTCTGGAGACGAGACGACCCGGGTCTGTGCAGAAGGTTGTGGAAAGGCACCTCCTGGGGCACTCTGGGCCCCCTTCCCTTAGAACCGCTCGGGTGTGCTTTGTGGTGGACTAGAGGCTTTTTGAGGGATTCTAATGCCGAGTCCCACCGCGGCGCTGGGAGCGCGACTCCGAGAGCTTGGGGGCTCGGAGGGCACTTGGAACCCGGGCAGCGCCCGCCTGGCGGGTCGCGAGTGCCAGGGTCGGGGGCCGCAGCAGGGGGGCCGTGGGCAGCACCCCGACGCCTAGGCAGGCAGGAGCTCCTCGGGAGCGCTTTAAAGCCTTTGCAAACTTTCCCTTGCCTTTTAGGATCCCAGCAGGCCGTTGGCCCACGTCAATGCAGTAAAAACATGACTTGATTCAAGCTCCCGGGTGGGCGCTTGGACGCCGGGCGGAGTGGCGTGGAATTGGATAGTGGTGTGCCCCGCCTGGCCCGGCATTTCCCCTCGTATTTCATCTCCCTCTTCCGTGCCATCCCGCACCCCCTTGACTGTTAGGCGGTCCGCAGCACTCAGGGTGGCCAGGTGCAGTCTACACTACGTTGGGAATCCCGGAGCCAGGGAAAAGAACGGTGAGGGAGAGAGAGCGGCGGATCGCCCCTTACGGGAGATGGCGGATGGCGGGGAGCGGGGTGTGGGGGGGGGTGTCACTTTTTGGCCCAATCTGCCCGCCAACGTGTCTGTAAACGTCCTCTCCCAAGGCGGAGCTGAAAGGAAAAACAAACAACATATTGAGCAATCAGTTCGCCAACATTTGAATTTTTAAGAGCTTTTACCCTAAAAACGGGTACCCCGGGGGTCTTGGCAGGGAGAGAAGGACATTTAGGGTCTCGGTTGTCGCTGGCCGCGCCCGGGGGTCGCCCCTCCGCGCGCTGTCCCCTGTCAGCCAGGCGCTCTCAGCCCACCGCGGGGGAAAGCCAGGCGGTGAAGCCCTGGAGAAAAGGGATTTAGTTTTAAGCCAGTCTCCCATCGATCGGGTCGGTAATTCCTACCCCTGCCCACTCGCAGACACACTCACCTCTACCCTAAAGCATTAAGTTCATTACGCG